ACTTTTTGTTTTTAAGGTAGTTTTTTGAAATCGGACCTTTAGGAAGCGGGGACTATGGTCAGAGCCACGCAGCAGAAGGCAGCGGTCTCTTGGCTCAGATGACTATGTAAGTTTGAAACAAGAAAGTGTTTAAATTCCAGTTCCCAGTGTGGTTCCCACACAGGCGTGTGAAATTGGCCCTGCCGAGTCTTGAAATCTGGACTCCCTCACCTTCTTCACAGATTCATATTCTCCGGGACATCTCCAGAGCGTTCGTGTGACATGGTTTTGTCCACTTCGTGAGCCTGCTGATTCTAGCTTCCTGCCTACACTGAGTCCTGTGTGCCCAGGACACACGTTAGCCATCCCTGCTCCCTCTGAGGCCTGTGCCTTGATCAGCTCTTGAGTCCCTGAGGAGCAGGGACATCTATGGTTGTTTGGCTGCTTGTCTCCCAGGGGCTACGGATGACCCATAGGGCAGGGCATCTACCCTCTTCCACTCCAGAAGGCCAGATGGCCCCAGGCTCACCCCACCCCACGCAGCGAGGGCACAGAGACAGGACCGACTCTCTTTATGTTATGCCAGGACAAAAGTTAAAAGAGAAAAAAAAAAAAAAAACAGTAAGCAAACTGCTGTGGACAACAAGATCCCGAGCTCTGGCCCCGATCAGGTGGACTAAGCTGTTGTGAACCTCCATTCTTAACTATGAGACTCCAGGATTCCTGGGGAGAGGCCAAGAGAGACTCTCATAATGCAAGGGATGTGGCTTGTTGGTTGGGAAGGCTGGGTGGACACAGGGCGGCCTCCATTGCCCTGGATGAGCAGGTGCCAAGAGCACCCATGGGTACCCAGTAAGCGCTGGTCCTAGTCACGGGATGGCATGAGGCCACACAGGCTCAGGACTGGAGAGACCCAGGCCTTTTCTGGCCAGCACACTCTGAGCCCTGAACACACCAAGTGAGGTGAGAGCCCAGGGTCCAGGAAGAGGAGGTACAGGATCCCTGCACCCCAGGGCCCTGCCTTGGGCCTGAAGGTCCTCTGGGGTAGCTGGGGGACAGGCCTCATGGCCCTTGGTGGCCAGGGCCAATGGTTAGTCCCAGTGCCCTTCTCCCCTGGAAGAAGGGGAAAGGCAGAAGGGACAGCCTCTGGAGATGTCCTAGCTGTCGGCTGTGAGGTCCCAGCCCGGCTGCAGGGCGGCCAGGCTCCCCACAGGTCTGGGTTTCCTTCTTTCCAGGTGGCTCAGCTTTCTAGCCCTGGCTGCTGGGGGCTTTGCCCTTTCAGACTCTGCAGAGCACAGCTCCCATGCAGCCTCGACTCTGGCAGCTTCCTGGGGTCTTCTGGAGATTTCTGAGCCGCCCCCCATTTCCCGAGATGTCTGCTCTGAACGTGCCTAAACCCACATCATCTCACTTAGGGGCGTCCCTGAGAGACCTGTGCTGGTTTTGCTGCTTTATCGACTAGGAAGGTGGGCCTGGAGCGTGGGGAAGGGACTTGTCTAAGGTCACATAGCCAGCTTGGTGGCAGAACAAATCTTCTCCCCGAGGCCTGTGGACCCAAAGCTTATAATTGTCACTTTGCCACCTTCCTTTGTCCCTTCTCTTCCTTGGAGTGAGTGGGGACTCAGGGATCATGGATGTCCACGGGCTAGCCATGTGGCTCATGGGAGTGCAACCTGCCCCCGAGTTGGGGACCCCACCATCTGAGGGCTTAGACCTTCCCATTCCCTCTTGGCCATGGCCTGCCCCAGGGCCAGGGGGAAAGGTCTGACCAGGGAGGTGGCCAGATGAGCTCTGTGAGTCTGCCCTGCTCCTGAGAGTTGCAGCTCCTGGCTCTGTGTTTGCCACAGGAAGCCCTATGATGAGGGGCTGGCTGTCCCCACTACCCAGACTGCAGGTCAGCCCCTACCTCCTCTCCAGGCCTCAGTGTCCCCAGGCTCATCTCATTTTCCTTCCCTCATCTCCACAGTCAGGAAAATAGGTGGGGGAACAGTGGGTGTGCCAGGCCAGCCCGAGCTGAGGGGGTAGCTTATGTCTGGAAGCTGCTCCCTTGGGGCCCAGGAAGTCAGCAGACACGGGAGCCCTGTGTTTGCCCAGCCCTGCGCTCTCCCCAGGGCTTCTCAGCAGCACCCAGAGGTTCCAGCTGTGCATTCTTGGCTTATTTGCTGTTGTATGCAGCGGAGTCCTTGGCACCCTGGTCTAGACCGATGCCACCAGCCAAGCTCAGGAGATGAATGTATACCCAGAAAACCAGGGGGAGCCACCTCAGGCAGGGCAGGGAGGCAGCCGGATGTCACTAGTTCTCAAGGGTCACTCTGCATGACCATCTTGAACTCAGGCCCAGGCCGGGTCACCCAGAAATTGGGCTATTACCATGACGGTCACTGACCCTCACCGTTTAGGGGCTTTAGCCTGAGGTGGCCTTTGACCGCTGTCAATGCTGTGTGAATGCTGCCAGCCCTGGGCACTGGCAGAGCCCTTGGCCCCTGCGAGGCAGGCATGGCATGGGTCCTGCCCATTCCTTTCCAGGGCTCTGATCACTTCCTAAGGGCCCACGAGGATTTCAGCTGTTCAGAATGTGCACAGTGGTGCGTGTGTTCTGGTGATGGGTCCGGACGGAGAGTGCTCCGCCCCTGTGTCCTTGTCACAGGGGGCTACGTTTGGGTGTCCTGCCCCAGGTGGCCTCTCTGTCTTGGTGGCAGCCCCTCTCTTAAAGGTCTGATTCTGTTCATCTGGCCTGGAGCAGTCAACTCCCGGGGGACCCCAGAGCCCTGTCTCCCAGGATCCTGGGGACCATGTGCTCCTGTGCTTCCCACAACCTCCCGGTGCCAGGGCTGTTTATGTGTGGAGTTCCTGGGAAGGCAGTCCTGGTGGGGGCTCCTGGGGGTCAAACTCCCAGTCCCCAAGCCCAGACAGTGACTCATGGGACTGAAGGGGACTGAAGGGCTGGAAGGAAGAAGGAGGAGCCTCCAGTCGCTGTTAAACAGTGACAGTCCTACTCCACAGTTCTACCTTGTTCTCCATCTTTACAGTCCCACCCCCTGACGGTAGTGATAGCCATGGTCAGCCGCTGTGCAGGCCAACAGAGGCACACAGCCCAGAGCAGCCTCTCTGTGTCCTTGGGCTTTGTCCTTGATCCCTCCCAGAGCTGCTCAAGGTGTGATTTGGGGGCACTGACTGTAGAGGCTGTTGGTCACAATGGGCCTCACTCGGACAGAGGAAAGGTATCAGGTCTGGGAGGAGGTGGGAGCCAGCACTTGGGTTTGTGCCGTCCATCCTTCCTGGGGTCCCTCTTGCCCCCAGGGGCAGTTTCTGATGAAATCACTTCCAGCTAGGGGGCTGATGGCACAGTGAGGAGGGCTGGCGGGCAGCCCTGGCGGGGGTTTACCTGTGCTCAGGGGAGCAGAAGGGGGCTGGGGTGCAGCATTATTGTCTCTTCCCTAGATTCCCCCATCCCAGTGATATGGCCCCCACAGTAGGGTCACGGGGCAAAGGTCAGGAGAGGGTAAGGAGCAGGGGTTTGGGGTTGAGGAGAGAAGTACCAGGAGGCAGGTGGGGAGTGACTCTCTGTGTGCCTCTTGGGGAGTGGCTCTGGGTCTGAGGGAGACTGGGGGCTTCTGTGCCGTCCTGGGAAGGTCCAGCACCTGGAGCCGGGCTGCAGGCCTGGGGAGGAGGCAGCCAGCCGGTGGACCGGTGGACGGCAATGCGGGGCTGGGGGTGGCCGGAGACGTGGAGCCCGGGGGTGAGCCTCTTGGGAGCACCTTGATGTGGAGGCTGGTGGAGGCGTCCTGGGGGCGTGTCTGAAAGGTGGGGCAGGAGATGGGACACGGCGACAAGGGGCTGGAGGGTGGCTTCCTCTCTCTGAGTCTGTCTTCTCATCTGTAAAACCGGCTGCCGCGAGGGGTCCGGGAGGAAAAGCTGCTCCTGGAAGCCGGGTCTCCCCTCCGCTGTGGTCTGGTTGGGCGCGGGGTCCGAGGTGAGCGCCGTCTGGGTCCAGCGTCCCCGCGGGCTCCGGGGCGGTCCTGCTCCCTGGCGCCATTCCGGCCGCGACGGGCGGGGCGGCGGGGCGGCCGCTGTCGGTCTGTCTGTCCGCAGGCTCCCAGGGGTGCGAGCAGCCAGCGGAATGGTAAGTGACCGCGGAGGGAGGGATCGGCCCCGAGGGCGCCGCCTGGGTCATTTCTGCCCTTTTTGAGCCACCGACGCCCCCGGGTTGCGGGCTGCGCTGGTCGACCCTTCCTGGTGGCAGGGGACGTCTCTTGCCCAGCACCCGCCCCGTCGGGCTGAGACAAGGTGCACCGGAGCGGGGGTAGAGGGGACCCTGGGAGTGGCAGTGCCAAAGGTGTCAGAGACTTAGGCTTTGAAGGGTTCAGGTGATAGAGAATAACCAACCGAGTTTCGGATCAGGCATTGTCGTTTTTTAGCGTTTTCACTCTCTCCCTTGATCCCCACACTGAATTGGGTCCCCCCCAGCCAGATGGGTGGTCACCATGCCCCTCAGTAGCCAGCCAGGGCCTGTGTCAGAACTTTCCATGGATTAAACTCCTGGATCCTTCTAAAAAAGAGGACCACCGTTCAATTCCAGGCTTATGACTTCTCTCCCAGAAGTCACAAGCCTGGAATTGGGTTTGAATAGGGGCAGACCTCGTGATACGGAGCCTTGTGCCACTTTACAGAGGCACAAACTGAGTGCCTCTCCTAAAGTCCCCAGCTTCAGAGGGAGACACCCACTACCCACTGGAGGCTACCCATGGCAAAGCCCGGGCTCGGGAGGACCTGTCATTTATTCAGAGGCTTCAAGGAGATCAAGATATTTAAAATCAAATGGCCCTGCTTTATTGTTTTAAGGATGCACGTTTTTATGTCTCTGAAATTGTAATGCACTTTAAAGGGATGGGAGAGGTCCCCCCCTTCCCTCCCTACATAAAAAATGGTCATCTTAGTGGGCACCTTTGGTTTGATGAGTGGGGACAGAGCCAGGATTCCCTAACTGACTTTTCTGGATATCTCTTCCCTCTATTCTACAGACTCCTCTCTGCCTCAATTGCTCCATTTTCCCTGGAAACCTGTCCCTAGGGGAAGCAAGGAGCCCCTCACCCTGCAATGGCAGTGAGGCCACGGAGCACTTTGACCCTGAGGACTTGAACCTGACAGACGAGGCACTGAGACTCAAGTACCTGGGGCCGCAGCAGTCAGAGCTGTTTGCACCTATCTGTGCCACATACCTGCTGATCTTTGTGGTGGGCACCGTGGGCAACGGGCTGACCTGCCTGGTCATCCTGCGCCACAAGGCCATGCGCACGCCCACCAATTTCTACCTCTTTAGCCTAGCAGTATCAGACCTGCTGACGCTGCTGGTGGGGCTGCCCCTGGAGCTCTATGAGATGTGGCACAATTACCCCTTCCTGCTGGGCGTTGGTGGCTGCTACTTCCGCACGCTGCTGTTCGAGACAGTCTGCCTGGCCTCCGTGCTCAACGTCACCACTCTGAGTGTGGAACGCTACATAGCCGTAGTGCATCCATTCCTGGCCAGGACTGTGGTGACACGGGCCAATGTTCGCCGCAGGCTCGGGGCCATCTGGGGCCTTGCCTTGCTCTGCTCTCTGCCCAACACCAGCTTGCATGGCCTCCAGCAGCTGCATGTGCCCTGCCGGGGCCCAGTGCCAGACTCAGCTGTGTGTATGGTGGTCCGCCCCCTGGCCCTGTACAACCTGGTGGTGCAGGCCACTGCATTGCTCTTCTTCTGCCTACCCATGGCCACCATCAGCGTGCTCTACCTGCTCGTGGGTCTGCGGCTGCAACAGGAGGCCAAGGGCAGGGGCATCAGAGTGGCCAGGGATGGTGACACCCCCAGAGTCCCACTGCAGGATAGAGGCCGGAGACAAGTGACGAAGATGCTGTGTAAGTGTTGCTGCTGGGATGGGAGACTGAGCCAGGCTCTGGGTATGACATGGGGATCCAGGGGCCTGGTGAAGGAGCGGAATGCCCCGCTCTCTGGAGCCAAGTGGGTGGTTTGGAGGACGTCGCCTACCCTGTTAGTGTGTGTCCACCTTAACAGGTACAGGGTCTCTTTTAGACTGTTAGAAATTTATACCAGAGATAAATGTTAATGGCTTACAGTTAGGATTGACTACATAATCCGTGAGGCTCAATACAAAACAAATATTCAGAATCTCCAAAAATTATTAAGAATGTCAGGTCAGCAGCAATAGAGCATTAAGCCAAGACCAGGGCCCTTCTAAGCTTGGGACCCTAGCCTTGTGCAAATGTAAAGGTGACACACACACCCATCTAGCCTTGGTCCCAGAAAATTGTGTGGCTGGGCTTCAGGAGGACAGAAACAGGTCGCTGAACCCTCCAGGACTCTCATCTTTGCTCTTGAATATTCTTGGCCCTGTTCTGTCCTGTAGCAGCTGTCAGCACAGCCACTGCCCAGTCCCCTCTTCTGGGGAGCTGCCCTCTTCCCTTCATAGCTATTGAAAATTCTGATTGGTAAGCTTAGGTCATGGTTTACCTCCTGGGCCAGAGGGGAGGATGCTGGAATTTACAGTCCCCTGAGGAACCACACAGAGGGATCTGGGGGAACAAGTTCCCCAAAAGAGGGGCAGGAGGGCTGGAGATGCAAGATGGGGATTTCCTGCAAGCTGTCTGTGTTTCTTGGGAGCCATGGGAAAGGCCGTTTGTATTCAAGAGGCTCTTCAGGAGATGTGTTTGTGTGCAGACCAGAGGAATCAGGGCAGAAGTGACCATTGTGGCAGACCAGGGCACTCCACTCTGGACCTTACTGTGACCAAGACCTGGCTGCACCCAGCTCAGCACCCTCAGCAGGGCCTGAGTCAAGTGGGGAGGGGGTGTCAAGGGCAGAACAAACCTGCTAAGACCTTAGTCAGGGCCAGCTGACTGGGGTGAGCCCTATCCCCAGAACAAGACCCACCCACTCCCCTTGCCATTCAGGAACAGTGTCCCAGAGTCTGGAGTCACTTGTGTGGCCCTGCGATGGGACTGGCCAAGCATTGTGCTGGCCTCCCACCTCTGCATCACGAAGCCTGCACTACCAACCAATTTCCCCTGCCTGTGTGCCCCCTACTATTGTCACCCCTCTCCCCCTAAACATGTGTGGAGCCTGCAGTGGGCTCAGCCAGGGCCCTCTCACCCCTGGGAAGGTGGTCTATTTGCTTGCAGGCCTGGGACCCACTGACCTTCTCCCCTTCCTCACTCCATCCACCTCCCAAGGAACTGCTGTGTACCTGGCTGTGTGCTGTGACATGCTCTGTTTGACATTTGGGATTAGAGGAACACCTTGCTAGGGTGTGATGGGGAGGCACAGCAGCGGAGTACAGTGAGCTGGAGAAGAGAGCGCACAAACCAAGGCCACCCAGTGGCCCAGACCTCAGGAAGGACGCAGAGGGTTAATCCCCGGGGCAAGGAGGAGTCAGAAGGGGTGGGGTCCTGGCTAGTCCATCCTGTCACTGCTGGGGAGGGACCCAGAAGCAGGGGGCCTCTCCAGGAGGGGGGTTAGCGCAGCAGGTCTCCAGCTGAGCCAGGGGGGGCTGGGGGTAGAGGCTGGGAAGGCTGGGCCAGGGCAGGTGGGGGTCTCTGTGGTCTCATGACCTTGTGCCTGATCCATTCTCCTGCCTTTCTGTCCTTTCATGTCAGCAAGCATGGCCTCAGAGAAGGCCTGGCTCACAGTCTGTCACACTAGGGGTTCAGCAGTCCTTGCTGGGAGTCCCCCAGTTCCAAATTCCATGGGAGAGGGTCTGTTGGGCCAGTTGGGCTCAGGTGTCCACAGCTAGTTCAGTGGATATGGCCAGAAGCAAAGACCATGACCCACTCAGTCAGAGGGGAAAGGGTCTCTCCAAGGGACATGGCCAGGATAGGGCATTTCCAGAAGCTCCTGGGAGGGTGCAGTGCTGGGTGGCCTGTGGGGTAGGAGGAGGCGAGATGGAAGGCAGGGGAAGGCAGGCAGAGCCCCCAGCACCCAGCCTGCCCTCTCTGTCTCCACAGATGTGCTGGTCGTGGTATTTGGCATCTGCTGGGCCCCGTTCCATGCTGACCGCCTCATGTGGAGCTTGGTGTCCCACTGGACAGAGGGTCTGCACCTGGCCTTCCAGTGCGTCCACCTCGTCTCTGGCGTCTTCTTCTACCTTGGTTCAGCTGTGAACCCTGTGCTCTACAGCCTCATGTCCACCCGTTTCCAGGAGACTTTCCGGGAAGCCCTGGGCCTCGGCACCCACTGCTGCCGCCCGCTCCCCCACCACAGCTCGCACAGCCTCAGCAGGCTGACCGTGGGCAGCTCCCTGTATACCGTAGGCGCCCATGGAAGCAGGGCCCAGGCCCTGGCTGACAACGATGGCCAAGAGGGACAGCAGGAAACAGAACCCTCCTAAATGGAGAAGCAGCCTCATCCTGAGGGCCACATGCCATCAGGGGGAGCCTCACCTGCGATCCTCTGCCAGGACATCCTCATGACCGGTCCCTGACTTACCCTAGACCCTCTGACCAGCACCTTAGCCACTCCTGTCCCTGACCACGTATTTGAGATTTGAGGGAAACAAACACTGATCCCTGAGTATTGAGGACACACATTGTGCCAGGGGACATGCATGCGCTTCGTCTCTCCAGACCCTCAGCCCCAGCTAAAAGCCCTGCAGAACCGTCTCAGGTAGCTGGGGGAGGGAGGCCAGTGGGTCCTCCCTTTGAGGTCCTTCCCCTGCAGCCGGTTGTCCTTCCATTTCTTTCTGCGGGTTCGGGCCTGCACCTGGGACGCTCCTCCCACTTAGACTTTCCCTGGCCTCCATTCTGCTCCGGGATCGGTGCCTGGTGGAGATGATGGCGGCAGAGGTTTCCAGGGACCCAGGGTCCTGGTTCTAGTCTTAGCCCTGCTGCCACCACTTTGCTTCTCGGCATCAGGCAACCCCCCTCACCCCCGCCCCCCGAATTCTAAGCTTTGGTTCCTTGTTTGAAAAACCAAAGGTACCCTGACCTTCCCCAGTGTCACACTTTGGCACTAGCTGCGGTTTTCTGTGTGTGTGCGTCACTGCTTTTAAATTTATTTTTTGAATATACTTTTCGTTGTAGATGAACACACAGTTTGTTTATTTATTTTCCTGTGGTGCAGAGGGTCAAACCCAGTGCTTCACACACATGCAAAGGCAAATGCTTTACCATTGAGCTACAGCCCCAGCCCGTATCAGATTCCCTCAGATTAGCAGGGGAGAAATTACTCTCTACATCCTTATCACCTTCGAACCTGCTTCCTCCCTGACCTGCCCAGGGCAGGTTCTTCACTTGTCCTAGAGCAGGTGGGGAGAGCGTGTGAGCACTGTTCCCTCTGCCTGCTGCCCTCCCCACCTCCAGGTAGGCTGGCCTGGGTACCGCGAGGGAGCAGAGCACTGGACCTGCAGGCTTAAGGATCTCAGTGGCAAGAGGCATGGGACGGTTAGGGGCTGGGAGTGACTCTTCATGGACAGCCCTTCTGGACTTAATGACAGAGGAACAGGGATGAGTAGCCATGAAATTCTATCACATCCCGAATCCCTGGGACCTACCCAGTGCTTAGTCAAGACTCAATCAATGAATGAAACTTGTCCTGAGGCAAATCCATCAGTCTTTTCCTCCTGAGAAGAGGCCTGGCATCCATGGACGGGAGGTGCAGGGAGACCTGGGGTCTGTCCATCTAGGTTGACCTGCAGACAACCTGCCGGCTGGAGCCCTGGTGGAGGAGATGGTACAGGGTTGCAGGTAACATTGTTTGCTCAATCATATAAACTATAAATGCCTGTTGTAGATATTTAGGAAGTACAAATAAGCAAACATGAAAACTAATTTAAAAAAATTAGAAACCTCACCAGGGGCTGCAGGGAGAGAGGAAGCAGGAGCCACTTAATGGTGCAGTTTCTGTTTCACAGATGAAAAGTTTCTGCACAACAACACAAATATACTGAATAATGCTTAACCGTCCTCTGGTTAAGATGCAAACTCTACATGTATTTTATAATTAAAAAAAAAAAAAAGGATTGTCTAAAGGAAGAGGGAAAATTTAAAAGCCACCATCATGGAGGTCTGTTGAGGCGACCCTGTCTACATTTTGGTGTTTCTCAGAATCATGTTTTATGGGCGGCACCCACCATCCACACACACACACACACACACACACACACACACACACACCTGCCTGCCTCCTCCCCAGCGGGCGTTCTAACCAAACTCAAGGGCCTTGGCCAGCCCTGGGTGAGTCTCCTGTGTCCTGCACAAGCCATAGGGGGCCCTTGGGTGGGGAGGAGGAAGGGGAGCCGGCAGCTGAAGGCCTGTGAGGGACTCTGCAGAGACAGGAGCACCCAAGGTCCCTTTGACACAGTTGCCAGGAGACCTTGTCATGCACCCTGAAGTTATTCCCAAAGATCAACTCTGGACTCCAGGGGGCCTTTCTTTAGGAGCACAGGTCACCATGGCCACTGAGAGAGGCCTCTGGCAGCTGGTCTCCGTGGTAACCAGTGGCCTATGACATATGGAACTTGTCCACCGACATGCCTTGGAGACACGGGTTCACACCTAAGCGCGCCCTTCTCATTTGCCTCCGCCTCCCTCAGTCTGCCCAGCGCTTCTCGGCTTCATGGAGAGTGGGAAGAGCAGCTCCAAGCTCAGCCCTTGAAGAGGATAGAAATGGAGGTCAGCAGCAAGGCCTGGCTGAGGTGCCCTCTCCTGCCTGACACGTGCCTGGTGACAGCCTGGAAGAGCAGCCTGCAGGAGTTGCCGCTGACTCTTCTGCACTGGTCAAGGGGGGGCTGTGTCCCCTGGGTCCCAGAGTCACACTCAGGCCAGAGTCCCCCTCTCTCTTGAAAGTATCTGGCTGCTCTGGGGCTCAGTTGCTGCCCCTCCTAACAGGTCACACATCCCTCTTCCTCCAGAGTTTGGGCCCATCTGTCCCATCCTGCCATTACCCTGGGACTTTGATGTCGATGGCCCCCTGCTACTCTGGGAACCACAGCCTGAGTGTTGCTGCTGTCTTAGCCTGTGCCCCCAAGACAGAATTGTGTGTGTGTGTTTTTTTTCCCTTTGTTGGTACTGGGGATTGAGCCCAGAGTCTCATGCATGTGAGGCAAGTGCTGTACCACCGATGTACACCCCCACCTTCCTCCCTTTTAAAAAAAATATTTTTAGTTGGACACAATAGCTTTATTTAATTAATTTATTTATTTTTATGTGATATTGAGGATTGAACTCAGGGCCTCACATGGGCTAGGCCAGTGCTTTACTGCTGAGCCACAATTGCAGCCCTATCCCAGCTCCCCCTTTTAAAAAATATTTGAGACAGGGTCTCAGCTGAGTTGCAGAGGCTGGCCTTGAACTTGCCACCCTGCCTCAGTCTCCCAAGTTGCAGGGTTTAACAGGTGTGCACCCTGTGCCTGCTAATGGATTAATCAGATTTTCTTTGCCCATAAATTTCCCTTGTAGGGAGGACCTGCCTTGTTTTTTACTGTGTGTGTGTGTGAGTGTGTGTGTGTGTGTGTGTCCTAGCATTTGATCTCCCTTCCTATCATATCAGGGGTCCCTCATTGAGTAACTGGGATACCAGACCCAGCTTCCTCCTAGGAAGCTGAAAGACCTCCCAGCTGGCTGGGATGACTTGATGTGGGACTTGTATCTTAAGCCAATGACACCAAGACACAACAGCAGGAAGAGGCTTGTCCAGGGGCAGCAGTGCTGACAGCAGCATCCTGCCCGGCCTCTCTTGGGTTCTGACTTTTATCTCAGCCAGGTTCTCTAGCCTTCTTCTTGCTACCAAGAGGGTTTTTTTTTTTTTTTTTTAACACATTTTCATCTTTTTGGGTTGGCCACAGTCATTTTGCAATTCAAGAATCTTAACAGACTCATCTGTTCACTGGTATGAAAGTTACAGTTTGTTCTACCAGTGATTATCTTTGCACATTTCTGAGATGAGCAGATATTATCACTGCTTTTTTTTTTTTTTKTGTGTGTGTGTGTGTGTGTGTGCCGGGGTTGAACCCAGGGGTGCGTAACCATTAAGCAACACCCCAGATCTTTCTTATTTTTTTATTTTGAGACAGTGTCTCACAAGTAGCTGAGGCTAGCCTCAAACTTTGTGATCCTTGTGCCTCAGCCTCCTGAGACTGGATTACAAGTGTTCAACACCAGCCCCAGCTATGTTTTTTTAAACCCCAACTACATTCTGTGATGTTTATTGTTTTTTGTTTGTTTGTTTTCTTTCAGTGCTGGGGATAAACCCAGGGCATTCTGCATACTAGGTAAACATGCTACAACTGAGCTACACTCCCAGCCCTCCCTGTTTTTAAATATAGGAAAAATATTTTAAAAATTAAAAGTGACGACAGATTTTAGGAATTTGATCTTAGATACATACTTATATCTTTTCTGACAGTCTAAACCTTTTAGCACAAGAAAAGAACCTCATATGCTTCTACAGACAAAGCAGTAGAGTTAGAGCTGGTGAGTCAGAGTGGCCTTAGGCCAAAGTCAGACTGGACAGAAAGGTATCTACATTTCTAAACAAAAAATGCACACCAATAAAACAGGACTGCTGCGGCTGGGGTTGTGGCTCAGTGGCAGAGTGCTTGCCTAGCACATGTGAGGCACTGGGTTCAATCCTCAGCACCACATAAAAATGAATATATAAAATGAAGGTATTGTGTGCATCTACAACTAAATATATTTTTTTTAAAGGTGGGGGGGCTGCTGGGTGTGCTGGTGCATGCTTGCAGTCCCAGCAACTCTGGAGACTGAGGAAGGAGGATCGCAAGTTCAAAGCCAGCCTCAGCCACTTAGTGAGGCCCTGGGCAACTTGGCAAGACTCTGTCTCAAAATAAAACATATCTAAAAAAGGGGGGTAGGGTGTATGCTAGGGATGTGGCTCATTGGTTAAGGACCCTTGGGTTCAATCCCTGGTACCAAAAAGAAAAAACAAACAAACAAAAAAAAAAAAAACAAGGCTAACATTGATAGTCATCCACTCCCTTGAGTGTCCAAGTTATAAAGTTACAAGGTTTAATCTGAGGATGGTAGTGTCTCTTTAAGGTAAGTGTCCCTTTCGTGTGGCTTCATTTAAGGCAATAACCCAACCTCATGCTGATTCTTGCTTCTGTAGACAAAGGCTAGGGAAAGTTAGGGGCTGGGCAGGAGGGGAGGCTGAGGCCCAGTGGTGACCGTAGGGATCAAGGTAATACCTGGTAGGTTAAGAGTACTGGCTCAGAAAAGGTGGTATGGCTGGGGTTACAGTGGAGGGCCTGAAGCTGCAGCATATTTCCTGCAACATATGCAAGAGTGCCTTGGATCTTTGAATCTAACATGTAAGCCCCTTGTTGACTCAGCATGTGGGCGTCACTCAGATAACACCTGTTGAGCCACAGGC